CAGCCAGTGAGCGGGAACTGGTCTCCACATGGGATCTGAACCCTCGGCGGGAGCGCCACCGAGCTCCCAAGCGGCGCGCTCTCCAGTGCGACACTGGGCCGGCCTGATTTTAACATTTTGATCATTGTATTTCAATATAATTCATTTCTTTTGTGGTGATATGTATTTTATTTTATATATTTAAAAGCATTATTATGAGGAGGAGGAGTTCATGGGCCTCATCAGAATTTCTTTCCAAGGAGACTGTGGCACAAAAAAGGCTAAGAACTCCTAGTTTTCATCACTGTATGCATATAAAAATACAAGCCTCATAATAGTCAGTTATACATTCGGACATTTTTCCCCTCGCCATTGCCCTTGAGCTCTTTGTCCTGTTTACTGACTTAGCACCGCCGGGCAGCCAGGCCCTTCTTCCTTCATGCTGTCATTATTCATTCTCCATCGCCGATGAGTCTTCTACATACTTCCAGTTTCTCTTTGACTTTAGTATCTCGATGCTTTTCAGGGTTACAGGTCCTCAATCTGAGTTTGTCTGCGTCTCCTCACGGTATCTTCCTGTTGTATATCTTTGGGAAGGACGTCGTGGACCCTTTATCAGTTGATTAAGATGGTATCTGCCAAACCGCTCCCTTGTAAAGTTGTTTTTTTCCCATTTTGTACTTCACGAGTGTTTTTATGGAGATGTCCTTTGAAACTATGTCAGTATCCCAGTTCTCATCAGATTTTCAGTTTATTCATTTTCAATTTATGTGTATTGGTTTTACAATTTACACTTTTAATTTGGTGGATTTTCAACTGTTATTATCACTATTCATTCTGATGCCTAGGTTTCCCTGATTCAGGCCCTTTAAACAGCTTCTGTGTGTTTTTGACATGTCCCCACCGTTCTTTGAGGACTTCCTTTCTTTCTGGCACAGTATTTCCAGGCTCATCTGTGTATGTACTTCATCCCGGGGTTGGAATCAGCTATTTTTTCAATGGACATGTCCCCACCGTTCTTTGAGGACTTCCTTTCTTTCTGGCACAGTATTTCCAGGCTCATTTTTGTATGTACTTCATCCCGGGGTTGGAATCAGCTATTTTTTCAATGCTTCCTGATTCTCTTTTTGGTGGAAAATGATACTTATATGATAGTCTAGGTGCTAGTTGTATTTATTGTTTTTGTGGTGCCACACACCCAAGTTCTGTCAGTGGATAGAGCTATAGAATTTATTTTAAGTAGTTACATATGCAAATACATATGTATACACATGCATATATATACATGTACACACATAAATGCAGATGTCATCTGAAAACCCTAAGTTCACAGTGATACTTTTGATTCCAAGGGTTCAATCTATTTTTTCAGATTTCCAGCTCCCTTCTTTAACAGTGGAAACCCTGTTTCTCATTATTTTTAATACTTTTAATTATTTGATCAACCTGCCTGTGTATAAATAATCTCTCATCTCTACTTTTCCTTTCTTCAGTGCCTTCTTCAACCTGCTCAGGCTCCAACACTGCAGAGGGAGGGGCTTTTTAAAAATGATTTTTGTAATCTTGGTGCCTGACATGTCATAGCTATTCACTGACTGATTACATTCTGTTAATGAGTCATTATATGTAAGTATTTATTGCAAACCTGCTGCAGACAGAATGTTGTGCCAGACTCCCAGCAAGAGTGGAAGAAATGGGACATGAGAGCTGGTGTCCTGAAGGAGCTGGCAGTATAACAGAAGAAGCACAATTTACATTCGTGAAGTGGCATGACAGTGGTTATCAAAGAATACAGAAATACATTAAAAGTAACAGTTAAAAATTACATGCACATTTTGAGAAAAAAAAAAGAGTTACTAAGTGAATACTTTAAAATGGCCTGGGTTTATCTGGAAGAGTTTTCTTAGGTTGATAAGTTTTATGCTAGGGCTTGAAAGATAGTAGACAAGGTTTGATAAGAAATAGCTGAGCACGAAGGAAACAAAGTTATCACTGGGAAACAGACTAATTTAGGTTAAGGTGGAAGCTTAGAAAGGCTAAGGCTGAAGAGAGCATCAAATGAACAAGTGTTCAGTTTTGTGCTAATGAGTGTGGATTTATGGAAGAGGAAACAGCAGTCGTATGTGTTCTTAAGCAAGGAATAACTGACATATCCTATCTGTAAAATGTATTAAGATTCAGAATTTTCAGAAGCTTGTGGTTCCAGGTCCTGTGGTGCTCTGAGGGGAGTGTTGACTGCACAGCTTTCTGGGGTTGTTCCTTGAGGGTAATACTCCGGTGTAATGTAACACGCTGCTAGAGTCCAGTTATTCAGTGTGCTGCTTCTTAAATGTGCGTTTGTTGTTAATGTATTTTGTTTTGTTTTAATTGGTTTCCATATAATACAGATAGAGTAAATAAGGGGAATGAGGAAGGTTCTGATGGTAAGCTGAGGATAAAATTCACCATCTTCAATTTTTCAGATGGCATCACTGGTTATACTTGTTGCTTGTAAGTTTGTTTTTTCCCCCTATACAGATTGGCAAAGCTTTTTTCCTCATAGTTATTGCCATTTATGATTTTAATATCTTATTTCATCATAATTGCATATTCATTCAGCTGTCTTTTTATTGCTCTTTGGAAACCTTTCAGGAATAATTGTAAATTCTTGTTATTATTTACATTATTGGTATGAGGGAGTTGTATATATTTTTTATCTTTACCTCTTTCTCTTAGCTTTTTGTATTCACCTTTTAGTTTTTGCTCTGCATTGGTGATCCCTAATAACAGTTATCTTGGAAATAAAAGCCACAGTGAATGTAACACAGGTCACTTGGGTTTATCTGTTGAGCATGGAATATAAAGGGAAGGGTGGTCATAAACTTTCCTTTGGGCATTTCTTTTCCATCTTCTTT